CACTGGACTAGAGACTTCCCAAAGTCCCCTTCAGTTCGAATGATTCTGCAATTTAGAAACATCAGGAAGAAATTCAGTGGCTGACACATGCACAGGGGTGACACACAACACATGAAACATTACTTGTACCAAGCCATTATAAAATTACAGAACACCTAGTGTCATTTTTACTGGCCAAGATATGGTAAAAGCAGTGCATTTTGAGTCCAAGGTGATACATGCTACAGCAGTCAAAGCACAGCTGTGACTGCAGCTGTATCTGTGCAGTGTCAGATGACACACCACTGACTCACACTATTTACTTGCATAGGTCAGCACTCCTGATGTGAGGGAGGACCAAGAAAAAGAAACAACCTAAGCATGCCACTCACCTCCCAAGAAATCTCTATCTTTATCTGTCAAATAGCCAAATTCACAAAACTATCAGTGAGGACTTATCCTCTGAACATCTGAAAAACCTTCTCCTAACAGTCTTCTATTCCCTGCTTTTGAATGACCACCTCATGACTATTCAACTGTAAGAACACTGCCTGCAAGCTTTTTCAGAAGGAGCCTTATTTGTACTTCCATAAAGATTGCATTATAACTCTTATACTGAGCACTTTTGAGATTAGACTTTACAGGGTGGATCACTGCTTGGCCAAAAATCAGGCTGCTTAGAGCTTTCAGTGATGATGGTCTTCATTCCCTTTATTGGAAGATACACCACTCATTGCTGAGGCCGGGTCTTCATACCTGAGGCAAAACTAAGTCTTAGATTGTACTCCTATCCTGGAGAAAAAAAAACACTTAGACTCAAAAAGTGACACGAGAAAAGGTGGGCTAAATACCACAAATTTCCAGCTGACAAGCAGAAGGGAAAAGGGCTATTCATTACTTAAGAATAGGTGGCTTCTGAGAAAATTAACATAATGTCAAAATGAGGACAGTTTTAATACTGTAAGTACCAAATAGTAGGTAAGTGATCTCTCTAATGTGGAGGGGGGGAAAAAAATCACCAAACCATCGCAGGAGGAAAGCCTACCTAATGCTTGTAGAAATTGGGACAAACATTCTTTCCTTTCTCATCACATCACATCTCCTCCACAGGTAACTTTGTACAAGGACTCTGATGGAGAAGACTTTGGGTTCAGTGTCTCAGATGGTTTATTGGAAAAAGGAGTGTATGTTAAAAACATTCGACCAGCTGGCCCTGGTGATCTGGGAGGTTTAAAACCATATGACCGACTTTTACAGGTAACATTTCTGGCATTGTGCAGGTTTCATATGAAGGGATGCAGGTTACTTTGTAAAAAGATTTGTAACCACATTGGAGGGTATTTGAGTATCCATTTTCAGAGATCTGATTGTAGAAAACTGCCSTTTTGCAGTTTTGTTACTTGGAACAGCCCTGTAATCTACACCGCTTATTACATTTTAAATAGTGAGCACCACTGTTTGTATTTCTGCTGGGAAGGGGTGTATGTAGCAGGGCAGGAAGAAGGATAAATGATCATAACTGCTCTGCACCACAGGGTGTGCTGTGTAGATTCCTTAGATTTCTTTTCCTGGCAAGAAAAGGYAGCACTTCATGGAGTTTTGGACTTTTATGCAGTGGCACTAAAGCTGGGTTTTCCTGTGCAGATTTATATAAACAAATTATTTCAGAATGCTAGGTATTTTAGAACTTCAAAGGAGACACACAAATGCTCACTGGGAAGCTGGAATTTCCCAAAGCATTTCCAGACAGATCTGTCTTTTGTGCTTTCTCTGATACAGACCTGAGAATTACTTGTGTTTAATCTTAAGTGTTGACTGACATAGTTGGAATAATGTAATACTCACTCAGCACCACATTTATCACAGTGCCAGGTTGGACTATGATGAAAAAAACAAATTATTTCTCAACTAGCCCAATAAAATACTTCATATATAAATTTATATGTATTAGGTAAAATCAGAGAAGACCTGAACTGAGTTGAAATTTCAGATGTGCTCTACTACATTTAAACTGATGAACACCATGAAAGACAGAAAAACTATGTGCTGTTAAGTATCATTTATGGAGTGGGCATTGTGACATCTGGCAAAAGCCAGCACCAATGTAAATACCCTCACTTCAGCTACATTCTGTTTATGAGTGAGTAGAAAATTTAACTGATGTCTTCAGACCAGACACCACAGTTAAACAGTTACTCTCTACTTGGAATAGTCTCAAGGATAAATGTTTCTCTTGTGAAAAAATGTTTCTCTTGTGATCTCACTTTTCTCCCTAAGATGATAACAAAAATCAGTCTTCTCATCAATCAGGTAAACCACGTTCGCACCAGAGACTTTGATTGCTGTTTGGTTGTGCCCCTCATCGCAGAATCTGGCAATAAGCTGGAACTGGTCATTAGCAGAAACCCCCTGGCGTCTCAGAAAGGGAGCTCAGAACACACTTCAGGGAGCGGGGAGTGGAGCGATCCCAATGCTGCCTTCCTTCAGCAGAGCGGACACACCAATGTCAGTACGGAGACACGGGATCCTACAAATACCTTATAGCAGAAACCATTTGAGTGGGACATTCGGTGACAAAAGACAATTATGGTGCTAAATCAATTTAAGATTTCTCTGAGATTGAGGCTCAGATGCTGTACAGCACTGAAAAGCACAGGAGGTCAGTCGGTCTGTCTCAAGGCTTCTATTAATCCACGGTTACTTTGGAAATATAGTTTAATTCTTCATTAAGTCATTCCATTCTAAACAATCTAGGATTAGTAGCAGTATAAAAATACATAAGGGCCTTTTTTTTCCCCATATAAGAAACTGGGGAGATATTTTAAAGATGATCTAAATGTTCCTCTCCCTTCAGCAGCAGCASCAGCTGTTTGAGGGAAAAGCATGGAGTTAACCTCTGCTAACAAACAGTAGTGTCCAGGTTACATGGTTTTTAAAAACCCTTTTATCAGGAAAGTGTTGCTGTCTCATGGACAAGGCAGAGTGGTTTACTGCACTGGCTTTTCTTGTGAAATGGCTACATCTCTGACTTTGGAAACCTTCATTCGCTGGCGAGAAGGGTGCACTCATCAGACAAAGCATGGTTAGATGTTGTAACAAAATGCTTGCAGGAAGCTGCAGTTTGCAGTAAACATTACTCCCCCACTTCAGCAAACTTTGTTAGAACATATGTTATTCCCTATGCAATGAAATATTTAATGGTATGTCTTGCAACCTGTGGGGATTTTTAAGCAGAGACTTTTTTAGTGGGATAAAACCTCTGACGGGGGATTACTGAGAAGAGTAAAACTGAAATGAGTTTAGACAAATTAGAAAGGTTTTATTTAAAATAAAATGGCTTTTTTAAAATTATGTCAGTGGAGATTGATACAAAAGCTCTTTAATGATCCATAAACSTGTAAACTTGTACTGTCACACATGAGCTTTTTAAATTGAACAGTTTCTTGTAGGAAGAAAGGTCCTATTTAATATGCTTTGTTTTCAGCCTTCTTTATTATAAACATTACCCCCTGCAACACATTTTTAGAATTTAAAATTGTAAATATATTTTACAAAGGCATCACACAAATTCTCTCCTCTCCCCTATTCCCCCAAGCAATAAAATACTGCCAGTTGCTTTATATGCTCACCAGCAGCTGCATTGGTTTATTCTGGTATTCAAGTTGTTATTGGTAATTATTGTTATTGGTGAATATAAAGATACTGGATTTGTAAATTTGTAGAGTCTCCATATCTAAGCAATCACCTTACAGAGTTGTTTCTGGTCAATTTAAACTGTTTAACTGTATCCCTGTTGCTGTTTCCAATACATCAACAAGCTCACCTGCCCTGCACACACAAGTATCTCTGATTTCTATTTCAGCACTGCCAGAAAAGGTCAGAATGACATTCAAGGCTGAATCATGTTAAAAAAAAAAAAAAANAAAAAAACAACAACAACAACAAAAGAAGACAAAACCAACAAAAACCCCAAGGTTCATGAGTCACTTAAATATGTATTTTTATTTGTAACAAATAAGTATTAAACTGTAAAGTATTTTTGTACAAATTTAATACTTTAATAGCATGATATTTATCGTCTATGTAATGTTTTTTTGAAATTCAAACTGTTGCAAATATTTGTATGGAGAAACTGTATAAATTGAAATAAACAGTGATTTAAAGACATTAAAAATGAGGTAGAGTTTTCAGCTTTATATTTTCCCCCACTTTTAGCAAAAAATACTGTTTATATTTGCAGTGTACTTTTTCCTACCCTATATGAAAAAAGAATTGTTAAAGATTGTCCACATTTTATTACAATGTGTCTGATGTTTAACATTTAATTTACTAATCTCAAAATTTTAATGCAGCAAATCACATAGTATACATGAAAAAGTTAAAGTGGAATGTTATTTGAACTCTGACTTGGAATTCTGCATTTCTTACCAAGACCATCATCAGCATAGAACTGTTAGCTAAAGCAGCAACTGCAAACTGCACATCATAGAAAACATTTTCTATGTCACTGATTGCAGCTTTCTTTTTCTGTCTGTAACAGAATTAAAATCCATAATCCATCAAAGCTTCACGGCCACAAATCTGCCATGTTACAAAAACCCAAAGTCCTCTTTCTAAACTGTTTTTTTTTGACTCAAGGAAATTGTAGTTTTGGCATATCATCAGAGCATCTCATCAATGCTGTAGCACTGGGAAATGGATAAATCTTGGTATGGACAGCGAGGAGTCTTTAAATCAAAATACATTCTTACGCATTTTAAGGGAACATCTGGATCCTCAAAGACCTCTAAGTTAATTCTTCACCAAAACAGAAGAATTACATGATTTTTGATAACCAGTACACCAACGAATCTGCTAAAAATGGGTCACTGAAAATGTAAGAGACTCGGTGTAAAACAAGCTGTTCTTCACAGAACATGCAAACCAAGAAAGCCTTTGAAAGGCACGTGCATACTCAGCTTCTCCATTCCAAAGGTCTTGAACAAGTTCAATAAAGGTTCGTACCAAGGACAGTTAGTTAATAATTGTCTGTTAGCTTTTGAAAAGCTTCCTAGGAGTAGTCTGTCCCAAAGTTAGATTCTTAAGTCTGGAAGATCCAAGTGGGGATTCTGCTACTGTTGTCTGTCAAAACAAAACAAAAATGTTACCCAAGTTTGAACCAGACCTAAAATATGTTAGTGTCTTCAAAAAAGGCTCTGACAGAGCTCAGAAATTATATTTAATGAAAAAAAAGCATCTGTTAAACAGGTTTTACTTCGTAAAAATAATTCCAGTTATTAAATTTTACAGACATCTTTCACGTCAGGTCACCTAAATACTTTGTGCACAAGCATAAGCTGATACAGGCTAAGCTGGCCAACAGATCACTCCAATGAGTGAAAAGATATATACGATTTATAGTGAAAAGATACTACTATTACCATTAATTTTTTTTTCTGTCTTAGCTATATATATTACTCTGCAATGATATCTGCCAAATTTGACTGCTTCACCAATTAATTAACAAAACAATCGTAACAGTACGCAGATGACTTGTGATGGTGAAAGAGTGCAGAAGTTTTGTTTTAAACTTTTTATTTTAAACTGTAAGGAGATACTTACAGGGGGTATTTTTGTAGCATCCTCAGAGGCAGGAGTTGGTCTTTTACATGGACTTTGCTGCAACCTGCCTATCTGTTCTTTACTGAGAACTGATGACCTTTCCTGTGTCATGAGGTCACTTTGAAATTCAGGTGCGTCAGGAGCATTTTGAGTTACAGAAACAGACTGAGTCTCGAGCTCTTGACTTTGCCAACACTTCACCAGGGAACAGGACGTTTGTTCAGGACAGTTGTTTGTTTCTGCAATTGCCTCTTTCAAAAATTTCTGCAAACGTGTTTTCCTGGGCATGTTCTTGTTCTTTACTGCTTTCCTGAGGTGCTGCTCTTCAGCCACAATGTAGACACGGCTACGTCCCCTGGTCACAGCTGTGTACACGTGCTGCCAGTGCTGCCGGCCRGCATTGCCAACCACATACACGATGGTCCTTTCCTCGGAGCCCTGAAACATGTAAGAATGCTGTTTCAAAGTCAGGTAAATAGCTAAAAAAAAGACAAGAATGAAGAGGTTGGAGACCTTTTGAAGAGGTTGGGATGTTCTCAAGAGTATTTTCTATCCTGGATTCGAGAAAATCTAGTTTCAAGGAAAGCTTCTGCTTCTTTCATGTGAAAATACAGTGCATTAGCTCAGCTCACAGCTGCTGTGCTTTTACCTGGAATGTGTGAATAGTTCTGGCCCAGGCATGCCTTATGTGACACAGCTTCTTCAATGCCTTGTACTTCACAGTAAACGTGGAGCTGTATGTGCTGCTGATGGTCAAGAGGCGCTGTTTATCAATTTCTGCATCCTAAAGGACAGCACAACACTCAGCAGTGAGCCTGAATCAGCAGGTGGATCAACATCTATACAYCCATGTGCATCCCTGTTCTAGCTTTCCCAGAATTACAACAGCGGCAACACCAACCAACTGGAAGTTTCAGAGGACACTAAACCCAATAAATTGCTGTTTTTCACTGACTACCTTCAAGGAAAATGTTTTCACTGTTCAGGGCCTACCCTAACTACTGGCACTTTTACTGCTCAGCTCACTGAACCCAGCAAAAAAAAMCAGGTATTTTTGCTTTTGATTTTAGGCCAGCTTGGTTTTCTCCCAGGGAAAGCTTAAACTGTAACATTACTTCAGACTATGTTAAACATTATCCATTTCAATTACAATGCACTTGAGTATTTACAAAATATATTTACACTGAACACAATCAGACCAACTGAAACACATTGTATAAAAAARCCCAGAATTGGGTTTTCTTGAACTCTCTATTGTACCTTGCCTCTTYCATGCCTGTTACATGATCACTTAGCAGAACTAAGTATGTATTATGGGCTAAATTTATAAAGTGAATTGTTTTGTTCTGGGGATTACACAAGCACTGAATCAGTTACCACCAGGTTTTCTCTGTGCAAGTTCTTGCAGCAAAGACTTACCTTTGTTATAAAAAATATGTCTCCATTGCACAGTCGTTTGTCCTCTGCAGCAGCCTCTGCAGTGAGGGTGGTTTCTCCACTTCTGCATTCATGGCCATTAGGACCTTCTCCAACACCACAGGAGGGCAAGAGATCCTTGAGATATGTATTGCGCGTGCAGGAAATCTTGTCCCCAGTTTGAAACAGAAGTCGGTTCTTATGGTCTCTAGGTCAGAGAAAGAAAAAGGGAAAAATGTATTTACAAAGTGTGCATTTAGCATCTTTCAGTATTTCTTCTCTTTCCACTCTCTAACTTGACTCAGATTAAAAACCTTAATAATATTCAAAATAGTTAAAGTAACACATTTATGTCTTGAACTTTTGTAAAACCCTTTCATAAAGAAACAGTAATACAGAGTAGCTTAAAATTCTGCTTCCAAAAATATTTCAGCATCTATTTAGAAATCAGAGAGTGGCAAAAAAATAATTAACCTTGACGCTTTTTTTCATGTTGCTTTTATGTGAATTTTGAATATTCAAAAGCAAATTAAAATCTTGGAATTCACAGTGAATTTAAATGAAAGGCAGTTTACCATTGTTCGCAGTCCAGACTGAGATTGAAGAACCCATCAAATAAAGTTTRTTATATGAATGATTCATAACATAATCAGATCTAGATGAAACATTCGAAGTTTTACAATCTTATTTTACGGTGTTGTTTTATGGTCTGGCTGTAACACTTTCAAAAACAAAATGAGATTGTTCACAGGAAACATGCAAAACACTGGCTTACCTGGTTAAATGATTTGAATAGTGTTGGCAACAAAGTTCATTTATTAGATCACAATCTTGCCTAAATCATACAAAACAGGAACAAAATCATCATATACAAAACACACAATTACAGGCAATGTCACATTAGCATTGATTTATAAATAATGGGAAAAGCCCCTTTTCTCTCTGATTATCTTCCACCAACTATTAAAAACAATCACTGGTTCAGAGTTTAGAAGACAGAGCAGTAAAGGAACAGTTTTGTCTAAATATCACAGAATGTGTCTGCACTGTACATCTAGATTAGCTAGATTAGTTTTTAAGATGAAGAAGAAAACTACAGAAAAATTAAAGTCTGGCAGATTATTTTCTGTCTGTGGATATATTAAAAATAGCCAGAAGATTTATTTGCTTTTTAAGAACCTGGAATTTTAACTTTTAAATTCAGATTAAGTACTTATAAACATATTCTAGAAGAATCATCCACAGAAATCACTAATAACAGCACTGTATCTGAATGCAGACTGGAGAAATAACACTGGTACCAGTGTTACTCAGCATTCACAAATCACTTATTAGCACATTGGTAACCTGTAAATAGTGGGTGTTTTTTACTTACTGAGAAAAGGTTCTTCACTATTAAGGGTGGAAGACTTTTTTCCTAAGTACTCTGCTGTGGAGAACTGCAAGTTTATGGATGATTGATCCTACTGTACATTATTTTTATCTCTTAAGTGTTTCAGCAAAGACATCCACACTATGCATGCTCCTGTGATTACTAACAGTTCCAATCTTTCTGCAAAGARTGTTAGAGTCTTACTTCCCACCCTTCTTAAGAGATGAGTATTCCAAGTATCTAGTAGCTTTATGCTATTGACACTAGTCTCTGCAACTCAGCTCACTCAGTTATTTGTAGATTGTGGCTACTAGCAAGGATTTTTTCAATGTCTGCCTGCATACTCAGTTACCTTCTGAAAGCAATGAATTGGGATTGTTTGGCATCCTCCAATCCTGGCCCTTTTTTAAGTAAAATCTTTATGGCAGTTTGTAAACCTGTTTTAAAAGACATAAAAAGGCAAGGCATAAAAATATTCAGAATTTTAAAAAGAAAATATAATTCAATATGAAATTACCTTTGCTTATTTCTCACTTTAATAACAGTTCAACTTGTTTAAAGCAAAACAAAAAAGAAAAACAACCCCCCAAAAACTCCCATACAAAACACAGATTCTCAAAGAAACAAAAATTCACCACAAAATGCCTGCATTTATTCCTCCAAGAAAACGTCATGCAGTAAACTTACTATTAAAATCTGAGAAACAAGAATGATACAGAGAGAAATAAATTCTTATTTCTGTGTTAAAACAACAGCTGCATGGAGCATATTTCATGGAAAATAAGGTTTTGCTACAGCACACTGAAGAGTAAAGATCAAATATTTTCAAATCACAGACCTATACACGTATTTCACAAAAGAAATCTATTTTTAGTATTCTGTAAGATAAGGTGATAATGTTTGCAATTTTTTTTTTTTTTTGCATTBCCCTTGAAGCTTTTTGATGCATATAAAACAGAGGCCACTCAATCCACTCATACCCAATAAATGTCAAAAAAACCCAATAAACAAAGCCTCCCGCCCTGACCTCAAAACCTTTAGAAGAAATACCRGTATCCCTTCTTAGAATTTTCCTAACTCAATTCTACATGTGGGAGCAAATTCCAGTCCAGTAGACCATCCTGTTAAGAGCTGCTCTTTACCCAAGTGACTCAGCTCTGAACAAATTCTGAAGATTTCTTAGACAGCTCTAGCTACATTATAAAAAGACAACCACATTCAGTTACAGTGCTGGAAGCTGTCCCCCATTTCAAAGTCTAACTGGTGAGCTGGAGCTCTACAGCCCTTTCTTTGCAGAACCTGCTGTGTGCACTTACAGAAGGCAAAAGATAAACTATGAACGTAGCATTTAAATTTATACCACAAAAAAAACCAGACTAAAATCTTCCCAAAATTTTGGTTCCAGATAATAGCCTATGCTTTACCAAAGGGAAAATCAAGATCACAAACTGACTGTAGACACATACTGTCACAATTCCYGCCAGCAGGCAAAGCAATAAGAATAAATTTCTTTTCCGGACTTGGCATTGTCACTTCCTCATTCCAAGCAGAAACCTTCAGCACCTCATCAAATTCAGGAAACTGCCGGTGAGAGATTCTGGACCAGAGAATTGGAGGGAAAATAGAGAAGTTATTTCCAGTTAAAGAATTGCAGCATATCCTTATCTGCATCAGCCTGAAGTTCACCAATTAGAAATTTTTTGTCATCTACGCTACATGCTCCAAAAACTCTTTTCTTGGAGCAAAATTTAATTTCACATTAAAAAATCGGTAATTTATTCTCTAAACCCTCCATCACTACAGCAGATACTTAGTACTACTCATAGAGTTCTTCCCATGGGAGCAAAATGGAGTAAAACAGAAGTGTTACCAAAAAAACAGGCAAGAATGTTTGTAAAATATGCCGTGGTTCTGGACATCTTACAAATGTTCAGAATATTCTCAAATTCAATTAACATCAAAACCTTGATTTTGTTGTTAGAGGTTTAAAAAAGAAATCATGCATTGAAGAAAACAGAATTATTTCCAAAACAAAAGTAGTGCAAATGCTGGAAACATTTAGAATTTCTATATATGAATACACAAAAAAACCCCAAAAAACAGTGATGTAATGGCAGTTGATATCTAAACTCTCAAAGCAGTTCACTGTTTTAGTTGTTGTCACACTTACCAGCAATGTCTTTAAAACTTGCTTTTCAGAGCAGCCATTGTAAGCCATTTTAGAAAGCATAAAGTCAGTTGTGCATTTATAACTCATTTGAAAATAACAGACAGTATCTGGTAGCTTGATAGTGAAATACATCCCATAAAATTCAAGAGTGTTCCAGTACACAGGTTCACTTTTTTGTCAATATATACTTCTGGAAAAAAAATCTGTAGGGTTTTTTTACTGTTGTTTGTTTTTAAAAACAGTGTTATGGATTTGGAGCAAAAAACCTAACAGAAGCACTACTACAGAGTCAAATCTGGATGCACTACTATTTGTAGGTAGAAGACCAGGCAAGAAATTCATGCACACATCAGGATATCCTACCTTGATGCATTATCTACRATCAGTTGTGATTCTGCTCTGTGGTTAGTTCGCAGTTCCACAGAAAAGCCTCTGGATTTTAGACCCTCAAAGATATCAGCTAACATGTTTCCTGGGTCTATGCTTGGCAGCTGTCTAGTATCACCTAAACAGAATGCACGTTAGCTTTTGTGAGAAAGAATAACATATAATTTTTTGTCTTGAAAAAGAAACGCCACTGGAATTAATAAATACTCAAGCCTCTACATMATAACATACATCCTTAATACCATTCAAATGAAATAAAACTTCAAAGAATCTAAGAAACTCTGGGAATAAGGTTGTAGTGTAGTTTAAGTTATTTTATACTCCTCAGTAATGCTTTACTAGCAAGTGCAAATCCCTCTCCTTGATGAGCACTGAGTGATCCCATTTTATTCAAACACGCTTTGAAAGCTGCGTATTCAAAAACAAATGCCATAAACATCATGTCAAAAAGCAAACCTCTGAGAAAGCATAACAATTTAACTTCACTCTTCTTTACTTTCCTTTTTGAATTAAAACAAGATGAYCTTAGCATTAAGAATGGCATGAAAACTCCCTTCTAACATACAATTAATATGCCAACACTAGCTCCTTCAGATTTAAGGAAATCAGAGAAGATTTCCAGTTGCAAGATAYAATAACCTACCACAAGCGAGTCAGAGAAAGACTGACTAAACACTGCTAAACAGATAATGAAGATATTTTCCTACTGACAGCTGGAAAGCTGTCTACCTCATGTGACCTTAATTAGCAGAAGYATCCAAGTACAGAACAGTGTAACATTTTGGGGTTTTTAAGAGACTTGGTGGGACCAGTGGGAGATCTGACACTTAATCTGTATATTGTGCACTATTAAACATTGTATAATGCTAGATTTGCTGTTTCACTTACCTAGAATAACAAGTTTAGCAAGCTGAGCATGGTCACATAAGAGTTTTAAAACTAAACTAAGAATGTGTACAGACACCAAACTTCCTTCATCCACAATCAGAACTGTAACAGCAGAAAACTTCCACGGCTGTGCATTTTCATTCCGTCTCCATGATTTAAAACTATAGATAATCTAGAAACAAATAAAAATAAAGCAAGCTCTGACAGTAACCAATTGTAAACTGTCTTACAGAAGTAGACAGTGGTATTTTCTGATACTGTATATACAACTACCATCTGCAATTCTGAACTTCCACCTGGTAAAGACCCAGAAGACTCAACCATTCAGTCTTATTTTCCTTCTCAGTGGATACATTTCYAGCTGAGCTTGACACTTACATAAAAGCACAGAAATGCAGTCTTTCTTTTCCTGCAGGAACCGTTAAAGAYACAAGGTCAGCCATTAGGTTGCTCAGTAACAGAACACCTTCTACTACAACCAGCTATCATAAATAAATGCCAAAAACTGCACAGGGAAGGGGAACAGGCAACTAACTATCCAGTCCCCGAAGATAAAAAGCCAACAGTACTTTTCTTTCTTTCTTTTTTTATATGTTATTATAATTTGTACATGGGTTATTCCACACCCCCAATGTCTTCTTGGCACCTTTTGCTATCTAGAACAAGAGAGACTTGACCTAAATTTATTACCAAAGAGTTTGTTTTCTACTTTTTTCTAAAAAAATTTCCACACCATCAAACAGTAATTAAGAAAACATTGTGCAAATGAAATTTCTCTCATTATTCAACTGCAGGCTACTGATCTTTTCATGTATGTACTGTTATAAATATGATGACTAGGCAACAGGATTCCACCACCACCTAGATATTATTTTCATCTTCATAAAAATACAACGCAAAACTGAGAAGCTGAAAAAAAACAGATGCCCTAGACAGGCACAAATTTCAAATGTATATAAATAATAAAGAAACCAAAGTTACAGCAAATGTATTTCCAATAACTGACTTATGATTCCCCAAAATGTAACGCTGACTTTCAGATGGTGACAAGCTGTACCTAAGCATTAATAACAATAAAAGGCTACACATTTCATAAGGAAAGTTCAATAGTAAGCTTTTTTTTTTTTTTCAAAAACAAGAACGGACACTGCCAAAAGGTCTTTCAGAAACTAATTAAAAAAAAGAAACAAGAAAAAAAACCTGAAACAAACCTTACCTGATGCAATGTATATGCAGGTTGCTGAGTTTTTTCACTCAAAAGAGTTGCTGCCCTCCCTGTAGGTGCAGTGAATAGTACATTCAAAAAGTTTTTTGCATACATATTCTCTGACTCCCAGTGCTGATCAAATGTATTCCATTCCTCAGATGCATCCAAGTCTTGTTCAAAGTCCTTAGAAGCAGCTTCCACTTCTTTTTCCATCTGCTTTAAATGACGAAAAAGGCAGCTAACTATTGTACTCTTCCCACAGCCTCCTTTTCCACTTATGATTGTGACAGGATTAGAACAAATTTTTTTCACAGCAATCACCTGATCTTCATCTACCTCTGCTTTACTTTGGATACCAGACATAGAGCCCACCTCCTTTTCAGGAAAGTGATTTTCACCATTATGGTTGTCCAGATTATTTTCTTTCATTTCTTGTGTCTGGATAATATTAATTTGGTTATCTACTGTTTCTCTTGATGCCTCAGAAAAGTTAAGTATCTTTTTCACATCCACATCCAGTTTCCACGTGCGGTTTAACAGGTCACCTATATACGTTGCAATATCCTTTTCAGATTTGTAAAGATGAGGCAGAAACACCAGCTTTTTCTCCCTAATCACTACATTCCGATCTTTCAAAAATTCAAGAGCTTGCCAGACTTGCTCAATTGACATATATTTGGATACAAAACGAGCTAATTCATCTTGATCTTCATATGTGTGTCCCATTTGTCTACAGTGTGTCTTGAGCCGATCATACAGAATTAACGCATTCTTCTGCAAGTCAGGAATCTTCCGGAGGAGATGTTCACACTGACAGAAGGCAGCCCACGTTGCCTCACAGTAAGAAAGGTTCAGCTCCTTATAGATAATCTTCTCCCCAAAAAGAGTAAAAGCAAACATACATTTATTTCAGAAGATGTTACCCTCTTGCTGAGCAACATTCCTCCTAGTAAAGACAAATTGCAATTCAGAGGGTGGAAGTTTGCAAAAGTATTTTGTATTTGTATTTGTCTTTTAAAACAGATTTACAAACTGTATTTGGAAGTATTTTTCATAATGTATGAAGTTATGCTTTTCAAGCTACATGGAAGCAAAATATTTAAAACTAAGCTGGAATTATCATTCCAGTTACTCCTCTGTATGAAAATAAAACTTTTTTAACATAAAAAACCTGGCACAGAAATTGGGTATTAGGGAGAACTCTTGCACAACACACAACACATTTTCATGTAAAGGTACAGAAACTGTAGAAACAGAGCACAGGAAAGCCATTATCCAGAATACTGTACCCAATTCTGAACATGTTAATTCAGGAAATACACCACCTTTACAGATATTATTACAAAATAGTGAAAGATTGAGATGCACAAAACAGTTGAACTACTGAGAGCAAGAAAAATAAATTGCATTGTCTCAGTCTTAAGAGAAAAACCTAAAGAGTCTTCAAGCAATAAAAAATATGCCATGAGATTGCAGCTGCTTGAAACAAAAGAGCAACAAGTCCATACTGCATCAAGGAATAGTGAAACTGAACATCAGGAAAATMTTTTGAAAGGAAATTATGTGAAACACTGGAATATACTGGCCACACTGCTGAATCTCTGAAATCAGAGCTCTTAAGGACAAGGCAGAACATCCACCAGCAAAGCACTGGGGGACTGAAGCAGAGGGACAACCATTCACAGTTGTGAACAACTAAGCTGTAGCTCCCATCTGAGGTACAGGACTGCTAAGATGAGGTGCAGCAGCAAAACCCATGGCAAGTACAACAAAAGAAAACAGGAAGGTACGCAACCACTGCAAATTACATTACAAAAAACAAACTACTGGACCAGATGACTCTTGCAGAGAATCTTATCCACCTTACTATGAAAGCATAGATACTGTTCTACCTACTAGGAACAGAAAGTCTCGTTTACTGGTATAAAACTGAAGAGAACAGTTGAGGATTTTAAATTAGCTTTTTWACTTCTGGCCAAATTACCACAAGCATTTAATTTTCTCTCCCTTGTAGAAAAATACTAAACAAATGGTTGTAACAAAACCACTTTCAAGAATCTTCTGAGATTAATTTATTCTACACCAACTGGAAAAACAAAAACCTTTGCTAACTAAAACTTTGTCCAGTATGTCATGCATTTCCAAATGAACTATGCTTAGCCCCTAAAAATGCCCATTAATAAAGTGAAGATAACTGAAACAGCGCTGTAGTCYAATGCACCTCAAATGCAGCAAACACCGTATTTTTCCTCTGCGTAACATTACTTACCCTGCTGAATCCAAGTTTCCACGGCTTATCCTTTAGTATCTCATCCAATCTTGTTACCATCTTGTCACTTACTTCCTCACCATCCATATCAGTATTTCTTTGCCAGCACACCTCATTTAAGAGACAGCAAAAGTGGCGTGGCAGAAGAATTGGCAAGAACTCCAGTATCCTTGGAAAATGCACAGCTACAAATACCGCCTTTCCTGCAACTGCATGCACCATAAACAAAGTTAGTTTTATGCAATGTACAAAGACAGTTGTAAAGCAATTTGCACTGACTCTGGCTTCATCCATCTTCCTCCCCTATATCCAAGACATCACAAATTTCTCTCAGTTTCTTACTCTTAGTCATCCTTTTCAAATTCTTTTAAAGTCTGTTTTCCCAGAACTGCCTTGGGAAAAACAATGTAAACAGATGCCATAAAAACAGCAACTACATTTTTACATATGGAAAATATGTATTATGTACATTGTTTAAACTACATATTCAACAGCATTTCATCCAGAAAGTCAGTTCAGACCTCACCATGCCTGCCTCTTACCTGAAAGTAATTTTCATATAGATGTACAAAAGAACATTTCAAGTTCAAAGTAAGACAAGAGGCTTCTAAATTTGTAGTATCAGATCAGTAGAGGAACTTGTGCTTTCCACTGACCTTTCAGTGAAAAGTGAACTTGTGCTTTCCTTTCAGCTTTCCACTGAATTTGTGCTTTCCACTGACTTGTGCTTTCCACTGGCTTTCTCAATGACCCCAAGCTTAAGATATCACTTTCCCTGTTCATATCAATCATGGAACAAGAGAGAATGGAATAATGAAACTGATTTGCTCTGTATTTTGCTTTTAAAAAACAATTTCAGAAGAAAGAAAAATAAATTTCAGAAGAAAGTGTAACTTTTAGAAGCTTTATCTCTTGGGGRAAAAACAGGCTATTTTTAACCGTTAAGGAAAACATAAAACTCATTTTTCTCAGTTTTCTGATTACTGCCTTACCCTCATAAAGACAAAGAGGGTAAGACAAAGATAAAACCTTTTCCCTTTAAGCAAGTATATAATTTACATATAAATAATCAATACGCACTATTTCAACACACAAAAAAATACTATGAAAGCTTGAAGAACAAATTGCTCAAGCATGTAACAATTAATGACAACAAAAAAAATTTGCAATACTAACAGTAGCAACTGGGGCCAAAAGTGACAGAGAGTGATTAAAGCTTAAAATGTTGCAAAGTAATCTAAGATAGGTATTAGGAAAAATCACCAGTTACAAGAACAGTGAAGACAGTATGTAGGCACACTGTGAAAACTTTACCCTTGAGGATTCATGAAAATACTGAACAAGTCTCAACCAAAAGCAATCCATGTATCCCATTAAAACTTACACAGCAAACCAGATCCGTGTTCCCATTACTATGGATTCCTACCCTTTTGTGGTCATGAAAAGATTTGATGTCCAGAAAGAAGAGTTAAGAAGTTTTCTATCATTACAAAAAGAGAACAAAAAGCCCGAAAGCCTACAGAGCTCTGAAAATTTTTCTCTCCTTACACCATGGGATTTGAAGTAAAGTCAATTCAAGTCTAGCAAAGGCTCTGAACTCTCCTGTTACATATAATTTGACATCCAAAAGAGTCACCTCCATCATCTAACCTGAACTGCCCAGTAAACCAGGTACTGGAAAACTTCGCTTACACATAACGGTAGATAGACCCAACCTGTACAAGTTATGGAAACAGATCATCAGAGCAAAACAAGAGATCTAATGCTGAGGGCACACTTCAGACACCCTGACTTCCTCCGTATTCCAGCATTTGGTTCACACCAGCTAAGTAGGGTCCCATAGACTGAATGCCAGTTACAGATCAGAGTACCTAAGGATTGCAAGTGAAGCACATTGTTAGGGTTTCATTCAGCAGGAATAAAGTACTCTCAAGAGACTGCACACAGTGGAGACAAGGGGGCACACTCCTGATCCAATCTCTAACACTCATATGATCACACCAACATAGCCCACCTAGAGCATCCTCAGCAGTCCTGAGCTATCTCCATGATGGGACACTCCAGTGCTTCCAAAGTCTGCTCCCAGCTACACCAATCTGCTGACAGGCAGGTTTCAAACACACCTAGATAGTTTATTCAGAGCAGCTGATTTGGACTATGCTGAACTCCTTCACTAATCCCTGTACTACAGAGAAGCAGCTATAGTACTTCTGAACACGTGCCAGCCCTAAAAAGCCACGCCACCATGTTAATGTAGTGCTGAACCCATTTTTCAATAACCCTTGTAATCTATGAATGAACTACAGGAAGCACCAGTATCTTTGTATCACATAACCACAGAAGCATAAAATGGTTTGGTTTGGAAGTGACCTCAAAGATAACTAGTTCCAAACCCCTGCCATAGACAGGGACACCTTCCACTACACTAGGTTGCTCAGAGCCCCATCCAACGTGACCTTGAACACTTCCAGGGATGAAGCATCCCTAGCACAGACAACTCTACTTCGTAAGCCTACAGAATTCAGGAAAGTCCCATCTTTAACTTGTCAGTTGTCCTACTGTCCTGAAATATTTTAAAATAATGATTGCACATTCAAAATTCATTTGAATATACATTTCATATGAATACATGACAGCTTGAACACAGTTCTATGAGATAGAACTCCTTAGCTTATAAAACAATCAAAATAGCACAGAATATACCTACATGATTCTGCAACATAGTTGAAGATGTCATAATCCTTGGTATCTTTTTTCCTCCTTCTTGGCTTTATGTGTGAAACTTGGAACTCTTCAAGTTTTTCTTCAAGATTTGTAAAACTCAGCACAGACTCCATAGGAAGCCAAGCAAAAAAAATTTCTTTCAAACTTTCAGGAACATCACATTCCTTAAGAAAGAGCGAAAATATTTGTCGGTTGTTTTCTTTCACATCAGTCTGCAGAAAATAYGATGGATATCCTTGCACAAAGTACTTCGACCCCATTTTTTTAGCTTTAACATTAACTTTCCACCAAGGGTCAACTAATGGAAAACGTCCAACTACTTCATACTCCTCTTTGGTGCCACATTCCTGTATAATAACTGAATCATTAAAAAGAAAARCAAAGCCAATGTTAATTGACAGTCATAAAAAATAAAAGTTTGTGTTGATTAAGAGTTTTGTTTGTTGAACACTTGTTTTKGTCTTTTTTTTAAGTTGCAGTAGTAAAAGTAAAGGAATGAGTCCATTTTCTCCAGTAATATTTTAAAATGAAAGTGAAACCAATTTCAGAAACAAGCACTAAAACTGCTTCTATAGCCATGAGAAATAAGTTTTGCCTATGAATTTATTAAGCCAATTAAATACATGTTTTAATATTATGGTTTATTATATATGCCAAGTCAACTTTACAGTTGAATTTTAGCAGTTCTATCACAAAATATTTTGTCACAATGCCTACATAATCTTCAGATACATTTATGTACAACGTATTTGCTGCAAACGAAACCACCAAAATTGTAAGTGAAAGGAATGAGAGGGAGATGTCTTTACAAACTGTAGGGTCTGCAGATACTACCAGATATTGACAAGAAGCAATRAATTCCATAGGAGTTCCACATTTGACACAAACTCACCCAAGGCCATGCTAAATCCCTGGACTTAGAGAAAAAGAACACAGACACAAAGAAAAGAAAGTGGGGGAGGGGGATGCACATCAGATGGGGGTCTGTATTAGGTGATTCAGGAGGTCTGTATTTCAGCCAATGGAAAGTAGGGAAAGAGAGGGAAAGTAGGGAAAGAGAGGGAAATGCAGTCGTGAAATTAGGATAAAAAGGAGGCCGCGACTTCTAACAATTTGAGAGACCCACATGGAAATGCCCCATGGCCTCTCCCTTTATTCAAATAAAGTTACAGGACTCCTCTGTCTCATTTTTGGACATAAATCTCCTCTAGTGTTTGCGGATTAATCTTCCTAAAAAACAGAATTAATACAGTAAATTCTTAACATTTTGTATGAATTGGTTTGCCTTCAAAAGAAAAAAAAMCAACACATTCCTTGATCGACAGTTGGGGACTAATTGCTACAACCAGACCAAAGTGGGCACCTATGTTTAGCAGGCMCTCTTTCTCACCAGGGCAACACTTGGGCCTGTAACAACTTACTTATTTCTCCCTTGTTATTTAGCACAGCTTAGTAACTTTAAAAACAACTTGCAGTTAAAATACTTTTTAGGCAGAGGTTGCTCCAACTTCACCTACTCTTCTAAGCTCTATATAGGAAATTGGGAATCCTTAATACGAAGTATCAACGCTCTCACACGTCATAAGAGAAAAAAAAAAAAAAAACCGCTCTATCCTAAGATACTGGTGAGCTTTAATGGTTTCTATCAGCTCTTGAATAGGAACTAGACATAAAATTCCAAACCTTGGAAAGTTATCTATAGTTTATAGGTGTTAGAGTTTCCCCCATGAAATACCTCCTCACAATGAAAAAAAAANAAAAAAAAAAAAAAAAAAAAAAAAGAGCTTTTTCTGTGCAGAGTTAACCTGAATGGGAAGATCTTATGTTTTCTTACTGTTGCAATACTGTGCCCATAGAAAAGCACAGACCACAATTGCCTCCCACTGCCCGTTCACCACTGCTTCGGTTCCCTGTGCCTGTGACCAATTCAGAGAGCGGGGCAGGGCCGAGCTGGGACATGCCCCACGGGGAAGCGYAGAGCACGGCAGGCGGGCCCGGGCCCAGGCGCCTCCTCTCCCCGCCGCCATTCCCGCAGCGCCGGGCCCCTCGTTCATTTACCCCGGTGCCCTGCGCGGAGCCCCGAACCCGGGCAGGGGAACCCCCAGCCCGCCCAGCCCGGCCCGGCCCCGCTCCCGCTGCCCCTCACCGGCGCGGCGCGGGGGCAGCGCGGCCGGCAGGTCCCGCCCGGCGGCCTCCACAAGCGCATCCTCCGCCAGGAACGGCTCCTCCWCGAAGTCGTCCTCGCTCTCCTCTTCCTCGGCCGCCGCCTCCCGCCGCAGCGGCCGCAGGTGCCCCCAGAGGTCCAGGGTCGCCCCGCGCTCCCCGGCGGACACCGCCATGCCGCCCCCGCCGCGATCCCTCCGCCCCCGCGGAAGGGCGGGACCGGGCCGCCCAGGGTGCTGGGGTCCGTCCGGATCGTCCGTCGGGAGCGACGAGTGCACATTTTTAATAATTCGGGACATAATTCTGCGTCTTTACATTTGACCCCTATCACAAAAGCATCAAATCACTTSCATTATATCCGATTATATTTCACCCGGCTGCCCCCAGAGTTGTTTAATACTATGTRTAACTGGCAAATCGTTCTCCGGAAGGTCCTCGTTGAAAATCCCCCGCCCTTCCCTGTGTTGTAACCCTGGCCGTTCCATTGCTACCTAGTCTTCACTTTCGTTCAACACCGGATCCTTGCCTTTTCCCAGACTTTATCACAGCTCATTGATGAAATATAAGCATTATCATACTCATTGATCTCTCACTGATAGCCCCCAGAAATCCTGCTATTCAGTCATATGAAAGCAAGTATTGCTACAACCTGTTTTAAATTGATTTTCACTGATTAGTAGTTAGCAGGTTAATGTTTGCTATGTTGTTATGTAACTGCTTTTTCAACAAAGTGACAGTTGTATTTTTGCATTTTCACCCCACTAACTAGCATATATTTTCATCAGTGAACTAAGTTTTGCAACGTTTATTATAAAAAATCCAAATAATTTTGCTGACTCCTGTGTTTTGATTTGCCATCTCATCTTTCTTTTTTTTTTT